CGGGAGGGTCTGTGCTGAAAACCCGGCCCATCCGCTTCGGTTTCCAACATTAATGTAATTGGAGGCCTCTGACGGGAATCAGCGCGGTGGCCCTCGGCCCTCGCTTTATGCCACAAGAAACCGCGTCCCCAGACGAGAAACTGCTGGGCCCGGAGCACTGGGCTGTGGCTGCGGGGACCAGGCAGCGCATGGCGGGGACCAGACCCTGTGCTCACCGCCGCCTTGCGCCCTCTGGGAGTGGCCGCCAGCTCCTTCCGAGGCCTTTGGCAGCCACTCGGAACGTCCTAGCAATGCCGCTGCCAGAGGAGCAGGGATGCTCCGTAGCTTCTCTGAAGTTACCAGCTGTGCTCTGACTCACCGCCTGACGGGCACGCAGCCTCGCCTGCTGCTCATCAGCCCTCGGTTGGCAGGAAGCGAGTGTCAGGCCCCGGGGCTCTGTGGGAACCAGGTGTCTGTCCCCTGCACGGGGGTGGCTGGCGGAGGAATAGGTTGTAAAGTTACCACCACGTGGGAGGCCACAGGGAGCGGGACGTGTCTGTTAGCTGAACTCACAGCCGAATGTGTGAGAGGGTGACTAGGAAAGTGCCACTGCGAGGAGCGGCGAACATGAAGGCCTGTGACCCCTGAACGAGAACACAGCAGCCATACGGGGGGAACAGGCCCTCAGTCCCCGCTGTGCCTCTCCCTCCTGTCCCCCCACCAGGTCTCCTCGGGGCTCGAGAGAGGAGGGTTCACCTTCCAAGGGGACGTCCGTGGGGAAGACTTCGGGAAATTCAAGCTCGAGAGGCAAGGTGAGCTGCGGGCTGCTTTCCAAGGAGACGCCGGGTGGCCTTTGTGGGGCTGTGCTGAGAAATCAGGAGAAAGGCCAGGACCCCTGAAGGGCAAAACCAAAGGGAGCCACGGGCGTGTGTGAGAGCCCAGTGGGCACCAGTGAGACAGTGCCCAGCGGGGGTGCAGTGAGCGCGCAGGTGTGGCGTTCAGGTCCTCGCCGCGTGGAGAGGTTCAAGACGGGGAGAGAGGAAGGTAACACTCATTCAAAGAATCCATCAAACTCCGTCACCAAGAAAATTGTAAATCAGAGTAACTAGAAGCCACCAAAGAGCAACGGAAAGTATATACTTCAGAGCAGAGAGGGGGAGGGGGGGTAGTGAGCAAATGGCAAAGGCTTCAGACGTGTGGGGGGGTGAGAGAGGCCCGCGGTGTTGCTGTGGGAGCTGTGATGGGTAGATTCGGACAATTTGGCAAAACTCTTTCATCCGGCAACTCTATCTTCATTTTATTTTATTTTTTTCTGCTTAGCCATTTCGTACAGAAGGACACAAACAAATCCTCCCCTTCAGATCAGGGCAATGTTCACCTATCCCAGTGGTCGGCAAACTCACTAGTCAACAGAGCCAAATATCAACAGTACGATTGAAATTTCTTTTGAGAGCCAAATTTTTTAAACTTACACTATATAGGCAGGTGCATTGTTAATAACTTAATTAGGGTCCTCCTGAGCTGGCCTTTGCTAAAAACGTCCTCAGTCTGATGGAGGTACGTTCGCTGAGGTCGACCCCTTCCAACTCTCCCATCCACAGGCATCTTGTATACTTGTTTCGTCTATCTCCTTTCCGAAAACCGACTTCTGCGCATGGGCCACGAAGTTTCAATCGCACTGTACGTGCGCGCCCGCACGTGGTATTTTGTGGAAGAGCCACACTCGAGGGGCCAAAGAGCCGCATGTGGCTCTCAAGCCGTGGTTTGCCGACCACTGACCTATCCCATAAGAGCAATTCTATCTTTAGAATTTTTAAAAATCCTCACCCAAGAATATGTTTTTGTTGATTTTTAGAGAAAGGGGAAAGGGCGGGGGGGGAGAGAGAGAAATGTCAGTTGGCTGCCTCCCTTCCTGCCCTAACCGAGAGCAAACCCCCAACCTTGGGGTGCAGGGGGCGGAACTCCAACCAGCCGAGCCGCCCGGCCAGGGCGTCCTCAACATCTGTAACAGACACAGGTCAGAGCTGTCCTCTGCCTGCTCAGGGGAGTCTGACGGGAGCTTCTAACAGTTGAGATGAGAGGAACCTCCAACAGGCACACATCTGTCACGAAGGAATCACCTCAACACGTGATCGTGTGGTGTGTTAGACGAAGCAGAAAGCAGTGATTTCATCCCGGGGACTTCATTACGGCCGCGAGGGCTGTACACTGACGCGGAAAGACGCCCCGGACATATGTGAGGGAACGCTCACTGGAGACGGACAGACAGACAGACGGGCCCTCCTCCGATCCCTTCTCTGCTGCTCGAGTGTTACCTTGGGAGTTACAGGGGGAAACCCGCTGTTCTCGCATCCAGATGAGCCCAGTGCTGCTCCTCCAGCTGCAGGCTCCCTGGGGAAGCAGTTCCCGGGGTGGGAAGATGAGGCGACGGTGCAAGCATTTGCTTGGCGCCCAAGCTCTGTCCACACGACAGCCCGCCGTCACTCCCGCTGCTGCTGACACAGAAGAGGGCGCGCACTTTCCTCATGAATCGCGCTGCGCGTCCTCTGAATAGCAGCAGCCGCCACCGTAGATGTGCCATGTGAGCGTGGTCATCGGCTAGAGGAGAGCATGGCCATTAGGCTTGGGAGCACAGCGCCTCCCTGAGGCACGTGGCAGTAATACCTCGTGATGCTGGTCACAGATGAATTCCTTGTCACTCGTGAGATCTTTATCAAGCTGAGGGATTCCCAAGGGAAGGCACCAACCTGCGTATCATCACACTTTTTAAAAACCCCAATCAGAAAGGTTAATTAACCATAAAATACTGCAATTCCCCCACCATTCCAGACTTGGTACGCGATGCTGTGCAAGCTGGGCCACTGTATGGTTAGGTGGTGGAGTAGAGCAGAAGCGTTAGCTACGGAGGTGTTAGAGCTGCGTGTGTTAGCAGTGTGGGTGCATTCTCTCTGGCTCCAACCGGACGTGTTGTTAGCTGCCCTCCTCCCGCCCTGGGGCACCTGCCCCCTGACTTCCTCCCAGGCCGGCCCCCCGGACTCTGTAGGTGTCGGAGCTCAGTCATCAGATGACCCGACCTGGACTCTCCCTTCGCTACGGCCACTTCCCTCTGCGTGTCCCCAGGGCCTTCTAACCTCACAAAACACCAGCTCGACTTAATACGTGACCTCCATTCTCGTGTGAGACGAGGTTATGGTCAGGAAAAGCGATGTGCTTCACGGAATGATCTGAACGGATAGGACGAATCCCTATCACTCAACGGACGAGGAACGTCTGGGTGTGAGGATTGACTGAAAAACGCCCGTTCAGTTCAGAGTGAGGGCCAAGCCCTGTTTTAGGGACAAAACGAACGACCTCTTAATTGTGTCCAGCCGGTAGATGGACCGGAAAGAGGGGATTGTCATAAAGGGACACTGAACCGAGGCGGCTTGAAGGGCACGTCTCATGCGAAGACGCAGTAGCACTAAATGTCGCATCTCCTGTTGGGCGAGGCGGGGCTTTTGAGGCCCCCCCCCCCCCGCCTCCCCTCCCCCTCCCCCGGTGTGTGCAGACCCGCTGAGGAGGCAGAGCTGCGTTGCACTGAGAGCGTCCGAGCTCTGCCCTGGATTTTGAATCTACACACACGCTCACACGCTGGGAGCGCACTGCCTTCTGCACAGAGACCGGGGCGGTCAGGCCCTTCCGTGACCTGTACCTGCGGGTCTGAGCTGAGGACGGGAGAGGACAGCAAATGCGTCCGCGTCTGCAGAGGTGACACCACAGGATGCCCTCTGCTAAGGCAGGTGGCGGAAGCCATGGGCACATGTCAGATGTGAGACCCGTTGCCTTGCTCAGCGGGAGCGGGAGGGTCATAGGGCACCCTGCTGGTCTCGGGGGGAGGGCAGGGTCCTGGTCAGAGAGATGTCCATGAACTACAGTCTTTCCGAATGAGGACCACTTGGTCCTTATGGGCTTAAACTCCCGCTTCTTGAAGAATGTGCTTCCCTTTATAAAACGTACCCTGCGCGTGTGAGTGTGAGCGTGAGGACGAATCCCTAAAATGTATCCCGCGTGTGTAAGTGTGAGCGTGAGGATGAATCCCTAAAATGTATCCCGCGTGTGAGTGTGAGCGTGAGGACGAATCCCTAAAATGTATCCTGCATGTGTGAGTGTGAGTGTGAGGATGAATCCCTAAAATGTATCCCGCCTGTGTGTGAGCGTGAGGACATATCCCTAAAATGTATCCCCCGTGTGTGAGTGTGAGCGTGAGGATGAATCCCTAAAATGTATCCCGCGTGTGTAAGTGTGAGCGTGAGGACATATCCCTAAAATGTATCCCCCGTGTGTGAGTGTGAGCGTGAGGATGAATCCCTAAAATGTATCCCCCGTGTGTGTGAGTGTGAGCGTGAGGACGAATCCCTAAAATGTATCCCGCGTGTGTGAGTATGAGTGTGAGGACGTATCCCTAAAAT